GCTTCCTCTCAGCTTATTTGATGTTAAATTACTCTCAGGCTGATTCAGTTTTTTGTTCCGTTTTTTTTTTTTTTTTTTTTTTTTTTTTTTTTTTTTATATCTGTGCGGGTCCAACAAATAAGATGTGGATGCTGTGAAATATTTCAAGTATTGATATGTACAAATATTCAAATGTGAAGTGAGTTCTGTTTTTTTTTTTTTTATTTATTCATACGTACAAAGACGTAGTATTTGTCACAAAATACAAGAGTGGACGCCCCACGTTCGTGATAAGTGGAAGTTATGCAAACCTTAATTTAAAGTAAAACACAAAATTAAAATTTAATGCATAAAACTGTTTAAGTACTCAGTGATATATACACATGACCGATTCCCCCATATATTGATTAATATGAAATAACTGTTTACATGTAAAGAAGCTTGAAATTAAGTTTTGGATCGTACAGGCAGTCATTTAATTTTAATGTTGAAGATTAAATATATATATATATGTTTATGTTCGCACATTTTAGCCCACCCACCACACACAAAAGATGGGAAAAAACTACATAAACTATTACAATTATTAAAAATAAAAATGTTATAAATAGAAAATGTAAGCTAGCTTTTTTTTCTTTTTTGCTTGAGGTGTTAAGGTCCAGCAGCACACGAGGACAAGAGTAGCAGAGCCTAACCTTTCGTTTTATTTTAGCGAACTGCAAAGGCAATACTTATTTTTAATGTATTTATTTTTTTACACCCTTCTCAGTTCATTTCACCAGCTCTTTATTTTTTTTTACCAGCTTTTTAAAAAATAATATTGGTTGTGACTTAGGTTGGCAGACATTTCAGCTGTATTTAAGTTCACTTCATATGACAGATTATGGCGTAACGGTGTAACCCCTGCTGACAGCAGTACGTGTATCCATCACTGATATGTCTTAATTCACCTTTCCAATCGAATTGTGATGTCTCGCCTCAAACCGCAAATCAGCATGTCAGCTAGTTGTGTCAGGAGTTTTATTTTACACCTTAAACAAAAAAGAAGCCGACTTTGAAAATAGGGAGAATCTAAAATATTTATTAAGCTGTGCATTTTCTTCCCCACGGACACTGAAGTTTTGTAATTGATTTTCATTATGTTGGAGGAAAACCTCTACACGTTATGGTCCTGTTGCACGTGCCCCCCTGCTGAACTGATTTATGAGCTTGATAATCAACAACTGAAGGTTTTGCTTTAAGACCTTTCAAACGTACAAATAGGGCGCTGCAGTGACATTAAGTGTGTATATATATATATATATATATATATGTGTGTGTGTGTGTGTGTGTGTGTGTGTGTGTGTGTGTGTGTGAGAGAGAGAGAGATAGAGAGAGAAAGAAACTTTTCAAGATTAGCAGTTATAGGCACCCATATTATTGCCGCTTGTTGTGTCAAATGTATTTTTATGGGAATTTTAAATTCACACACACAAAAACATCCACCCACGACCACGTGTGTACCGACTGTGCTCTTTATTAAATAAATAAATTATTCCCTTCTCCAAAGAGAGCTTCTGGAAATCCATAAAACACAGGAGAGTAGTGAGTGCATTGTTTATGATTTCTCCAAGGGCCCCTGATTTACGCTCACCACATTAAGCAGCACATTGGGTTTAATATAATTTACACACTTAGAAATTCATAAAACAAATGTCTCACTTTGGTGGTAAAGCACTGGTTGCTAGTTGGCTATAAATATTTTACTTTGATCGTGGCAATTTAAGGATATTATGCACATTACATATCCTGGTCACTGACACATAGTTTCCCCATTTCTAACATGAATCCTATTATAAAATGATTAAAAGGGAAATACATTTTAAAAAGTAATAAATAAATGGAGTTTGGGATTTGTTGAATCGGTGTAGGAATGGGTTAATTTTTATTTACTTATAGTTTCCAAATAACCCAAAGCTGTCGATGCCTCAGACAGAAGAGGGGGGCGTCTTACTGCTCTCTCTCTCTCTCTCTCTTATTCTCTCTCGCTCGCTCGCTCTTTCTCTCTCGCTCCCTCTAAAACAAAGACGCTTTGTCATAAACAGGGTTATTTTACCAAAAGGAGTCAAGAGGGCAACATATGTGGTCTTAACAGGTCAGAGGTCAAACATGCATGAAACACAAGGTCAAGCAAGCCACACAAGTAACCTTGCAATGTGTCAACATATTGATACTGTCAGACAACGGAGAGGAGAAATATGCCTTTGGCATCCATTATAACACACGGGCAGAGCGCCCCTTGCGCGATCGGGATTGTTGGGTTTAATGTTATAAACCTGTCAGATGGCTTTTTTCTTTTTCTTGTATTTTTGTCAGCTGTAACTGTAGATTGTGTGTAATATTTCACGTGATTTATTTGTTACGTGTGTGAACAAAGTGAGTATTGGTACTTCTTAAACCTGTTGAAATACTAGTCTGTGGGGGATTTTGAATAGGTTGGAGGCTTTTTCTTTTCCAGGCAGAAGGGAAAACCCACAGCCTCTTGATGATTGATTTTTTTTCTCAAAATTTTCTTTCTCCTTTCCCCTATCTGGGGAAGGTTTTTGTGTTTTTTTTCTTCAGAGAAATAAAGAACTTCTTATAGGGGTCGGCAGACGTGACTTTGAACTTGGATCAGCTCCTGCGTTTCCTGTGGTGCGAGTTGAAATAGACTTGGAAGAATGGCATACAACGCTCAGCCTGTCCCACTCAGAGCTAGGAGACACAATTAAAAAAAAAAAAAGTTTTTAAAACGTTTCCCTGGTCTTCACCGTTATTTGTCGTCTAGAGTGCACCGGAGAAGCTGAGACAGTCAGAAAGCTGTGTTGTGTGACGGAACCGCAGAGCTTGTGGGATTTTTTTGGGGGGTGAAAATGTAAGTAAACTTCCTTTGACTTGCATGTGAATAAGCAGCTTTGATGCACGGCCTGTGTATTTATGTGGCTACAGATTCAGTGTGTGTTTGTTGTGGGAAGGTGTCAGTAAATAATTCAGATAAGTATTTTGGAGTATTTGACTTCTATCTGTCTGGCTGCGTGGGACACCACAAAGGGGAAAATGAAAGAAGAATACGAAATCCCATGTAGACATTACTGTGCTAACGTGGAGGGGGCAAAAATCGACTTTTTTTCTTACAAAAGCACACCATATGTCACTATCAACACATCCTACTTTATGGCCGAAAATGCGTCACTGACAGTTCAACACAACCTCTACCTTATAGGTCACTAAGGGTTAACTTTCACCTTAGCCCTGTTCACCGCTGTAACAAGTAACTTAATTGGTGTGGTAAAGTGAGAACCACCAATGAAGCAGAACTAGCGACATATACAACCACTAAAGAAACCGTCAGCCACCACTGACGGCTGCCGGGGTGAGACCTGGAGCACCACTAAAGGCCCAGTTGTGGTTGTACAACCAGTGGAAAACCACTGGACTCCATATAGAGCCACACATGCTTTTTCAGCTGTCATGAATTAAGTGACTCAAACTTTATTTTTTTTCTTGGTAAGCATGGATAGATAGATAGTTTTTTTGCCTTTACTGCGATGATATGACTCTATAGCGTTGTGGTTAATTGACAATTTATTTTTGATGTCAGTTTCTGTTAATTAAATACAACATCAGCGCTTTTTAAAAACAGGGATACAGTAAAATACACAGACCACTTACGTCACATCTACAAAACTACCTAATCAATACCTTAATCCATTATGTCAACTCTTACTTTTTACAATCTTCACTATTTCTCATCAAATGCTGTGTTTGTATCCTTCATACTACAACTTCCCTCAGAATATAAACAACAAAAACAGCTCTCTCTTCTCTCTTGTCGTGATCCTTTCGCCCGCACACCTCCCAAATCTTCTCCTAAAAGTAGGCGGTAATTATTAGTGGAAAATGGCGTTGCGCTATTAAGTCGCCAAAGCGCTACCTGCTATTGGAGGGGCACCTGGGATTGATGAGGCGCGGCGGCCAATGAGACTGCGAGGAATGAATGAACGCTCTCCAGTTAAAGGGGGCGGAAGAGGAGGTAGAGCCAGTCCACGGAGAAACAGGGACCCTCCGCGATAAACACGGGCAAAGCCAGAGAAATAAATACGTGCGCGTTTGGGAACGGCGTTTTTTGAGATGCCCCAGCTACTGTCTCTCTGCTGTATGCAGAAGGCACCTAGTACGATAATTATTTAATTCTTCGAGTCGATTTTAACGCAAAAAAAAAAAAAAACAAAACAAAAAAAAAACTGCCGTAGTCAAGAGAAGAGGACACGAGGAAACTCTTGGATTTTTAAGTCACAAGTAAACTAGAAGTAAATTCAGTGTTCGATACGCCGAGATTCCCTCTTTTATTTTTATTTATTTTTATTTTTTGCATTTTTCTCTTTTCTTTTCTTCTCTTTTCTTTTCTTTTTTCAACTCTTGAGCGGAGCAGCGCTTTGAAACACGCCTGATATGTTGTTTCCAAGGCTGGAAGTTCAATCGTCGCGTGCCAGCACCGAGATTTGATTTTTCCGTCTTCTTCTTTTACTAATTTGCTGTAGCTTCGAGCTCTGCGCTGGTGTTTTATTTTATTTTATTTTTTTAAAAAATCGCTTTGAAGACATAATGCTACTGGATGCTGGTCACCAGTTCCCAGGACTCGGAGTGGGCTCGTTTGCAAGGCATCACTCAGCCAGCGAGATGCAGGAGAGAGACTTGAGTTTGGCACAAAATAGCTTTGTTGACTCTGCACACATGGGTGCGTTTAAGCTGAACCATGATCTCTCCCCAGGACAGAGCTCTGCCTTCACCACCCAGGCGCCGGGCTACCCCGCAGCGGCTCTGGGGGCTCACGCTGCCCATGTCACCTCGTATGCAAGCTCTCCTTTCAACTCCACCAGGGACTTTCTCTTTCGTAGTCGCGGCTTCGGAGAATCCTCTCCGGCGAGTAGCCAACATACTATTTTTGGCCCCACGGCGGGATCCCTTCATCACTCCCACACAGACACTCAAGGCCACATTCTGTTCCCCGGGATCCACGACCAGCATGGGTCCCACGGATCCCCGAACGTCCTGAATGGGCAAATGAGGCTTGGACTACCCGGCGAAGTTTTCGGACGCTCCGACCAATACCACCAGGTTTCCAGTCCGAGGACCGACCCGTATTCTGCCGCGCAGCTCCACAACCAGTACGGCTCCATGAATATGAACATGGGGATGAACATGGCAGCCCACCACCACCCCGGTGCCTTTTTCCGTTACATGAGGCAGCAGTGCATCAAGCAGGAGCTCATCTGCAAGTGGATCGACCCCGAGCAGCTCAGCAACCCCAAAAAGTGTTGCAATAAAACTTTTAGCACCATGCACGAGTTGGTCACTCACGTCTCAGTGGAGCACGTCGGTGGTCCGGAGCAGACCAACCACATCTGCTTCTGGGAGGATTGCTCCCGGGAGAGCAAACCGTTCAAGGCAAAATACAAACTGGTCAACCACATTCGGGTGCACACTGGAGAAAAGCCTTTCCCCTGCCCCTTCCCTGGCTGCGGGAAGGTCTTCGCACGGTCGGAAAACTTGAAGATACACAAGAGGACGCATACAGGTAATTAAGATAATAATGCAAATAATAACGATCGCGCAAGCTTTATTTGATATAAAATTGTTTTATTTAAATAGTAAGCCCGGTGTGGGTGCTGTCACCGAGCGTACCCGAGGATTTATTTCGCTGTTGTAAATGCGTGTCTTGCCAAGACAAACACACATTAAGATCTAATTACCAGCGGGTATTTTAGGCTGCTAAAGTAGTATTCTAGGATCACATCCAGGACAGAGGGAGAGGGGGGAAAGAAGAAAGGAGAGAACAAATGCGTTTAAAATGGTGGGGATACTTCATTTCTTCGTTACACGGCTACTCTGGGCCCGTTCGAACTCTTCTTCTGGTGCTTTAAAAACGCACAGAAAGCAGTTTAGTTGGCTCTCTAGGAGCTTTATTGTTCAGGCTAAACTTTAGAAATGGGTCAAAGGGAATAGAGAGAGCGCGTTGCGTGCGTCCTAGAGCAGCCAGCATCGTAGTAAAATCACATCAGCTCATTCATGATACTCTGTGTGTGTGTGTATTTCGCGTCTCCTCAACCCACCCACCCCTTTTCCATATAGGTTTTTCTCCTTGTGTCCTTATTAAATATTTGTATTTAGCTCTGAAACGATTTGCACTTGGTATTTGCTCGGGGGTTGTGTGTAGATTTAGCCGAGCACAGTAGCAGCAATGCTGCCAGGAATGCCTTTTGTTTTCCCATGCGCCTCTCTCATATGTGTTGAGGTGCTAGACAGGGCCATTACCAGCCTCTCACATTTTGACTTATTTTCTAGGAAATACATTACGGTGCTGTGCCATGAAATTGGCCACGTGCTAATTAGATTTTTATTGTCTCCCGGCAAATGATATGCCTTCTGCAGGCCTACTGAGGACGGCCTCGTCGTCTTTCTCCCACCCCCTTCCAATCACTATGCGCATTATTTAGGCTAAATAAGACGTTGCAGCACCCCCACTTCGTTTTAAAAGACGCTTGAAACTTTGTCACAATTGTTACGGCTAAACGTGTTGCTTTTAACCCTGCATTTTATTTGCATTTTTTACATGGATGGCATCAGCAATACTCTGCACTCAACTTTTACAACAGACTGGTTCTGCACAAGCTTCTTCTTTTCTTCTTTTCTTTATTTCTTTCTTGCAGGAGAGAAACCGTTCCAGTGTGAGTTTGAGGGATGCGACAGAAGATTTGCAAACAGCAGCGACCGAAAGAAACATATGCACGTTCACACGTCGGACAAGCCATATCTCTGCAAAATGTGCGACAAGTCTTACACACATCCCAGCTCTCTACGAAAACACATGAAGGTAAGTAAGGCGTTGAGGGAAGTGTGTGTGTGTTCTTCTATTTTTTATTTATATTTTTGTACAGTCTAATACCAGGTGGCTTTTAGAATTTATCCAGTTCTTTGGTGCTTTTTTTGTTTAACGTGTAAATCAGAAAATAAATATGTATTTTTTCCTTTCTTTTTTCTTCTTCTTTTTTTTTTTTTTTAGGTCCACGAATCCTCTCCACCAGCGTCAGACTCATCACCAGCAGCCAGCTCTGGTTACGAATCATCCACACCTCCAGGGCTGGTGTCACCCACCACGGAGACTCAAAGCAACACCACCCTTTCCCCAGCCTCAGCTGTGCACAACACCACCAACCACAGTGGCCTGTCCTCCAATTTCAGTGAATGGTATGTTTAGGACTATGCTGAAATGAAGCAACACACACACGTTTCACTGAGTTTTGGGACATGTGCACACAGGAGGCACACGAACACTTCTTTATTTTTTAATCTTATTATTTTGGATTTACCAGGGAAGATGATGATTACCAACAGAGGAAAAATATGTATAATATTTGAGGTGTATTTCATATAATGTAAATAATCACTAAAAGCCCAAATTCCATTTGGTTGTGATAGTTCGTCTGTCTTTGGTGTGTTGATGTTCCTTCAATGGTAGCTATTTCTCTTAACTGGACCTTTTAGTGCACACATTACAATAAAATTGTACTATAATGTTGAATATTGTGATCCTAAGGCAAATTGATTGTACTATACTAAACATCTATAAACTGGAAAGAGTGCCAAAGTTAACATTTAACTCAAACAGACCACAATATTATGCTTGTGAATGTATATTTTAGTTTGCTGGGCTTAACTTGTGATGTTTTGTGCTTTGCAAATTGGAATTGTGAAACACTATCTGGAAGATTGTGAGGACAATAAACGTTGTGCCGTTCGATTTTTTTTCTTTCCTGTAACTACACCCTTCCTTTTGTAAATATCAGCTGCCATATTTATCCATTTGTAATTAAATTATGGTATTTACTTGCTACAGATGAAACAGTATTTATAAAGAATGTTTCTTTACTATAAATATGTACAATTACGAGCTAAACATGGGCAGTTGTTTCGTTATGTGCTTTTGTTCAAAGTTTTAAGAGGTGTTTTCTTCCTTATTGTGATAAGAATTTTACTGCATACAAATATAATAAAAGGTGTTGCAAGTGCTAAATACCCTTTTGCCTTTTCCTCCTTTTTACGCTGCTGGGTGCTTGGTGCAGTTTGTAGTGAGTTACACGCAGTTTGGGATTTAGTCTGGTTTGGAATCGGTCAGAGAAGTTTTATGACTTCACAATTTTTTTTCTTTTTCTAAACTAGTCATTATCTCCACTCTAAATGTCCATGCTGTCAACTCTTTTCTTTTCGGTGAGGAAAAGGCATCGTGGAAATCATGCTGTCAGGCCCTTAAGACAATGGGGCTGTGGAAATAAATAAGAAGTCCCGGAATTAAAAGTGGCCTGTGTGCGCACATAGTCTGAATTTTCTGAAAGCCAAACTATTTGAAATAATGAATTTAATTTCTAACTTTTTTTTAAAGAATGATTCAATTCGTATATTAGTTTTATTTTAATTAAAGAGGAAAACAAACTACGCAATTTAACTTCTGCGCAATCAGCACGTGAACGCAACAAAATGCGTGCGAAAGCTGCTCGGTTCGCGCAGGCGTGTGGGGGGAGCAAAGCTTTTCTTTTCCGTACATCATTGTCTTATCCCTTTTAAAAAAAATTTCCAAACCAGGTGCGGGGATTTTTATTTGAAAATAGAAACTGTAAATATAACCCACCCTCCCTTCCCCCACGCTGGACACTTCACTGGACAGGAGTTTAGTGCAGCCGTGAACTTGAACTTGACACAGCTTTAGTTGTTTTCTGGGAGCTCATCTTGGTGCTCTGGTTTCAGCCTGTTCTTCGGGGATGACCATGTGTTTCCCGTAGTCCTGCTATTAATGTAGATGGTTTTTAGTGCTCGGATGTGAAGGTTTGTGTTGCTGCTGTTAAACTTAACGACTCAGATTAATATCAGTGTCACCTTGCAGCCTGTTTACACCCAAGGGCTAAATGTCACCGTCTGAGGCCACGACAAGTGCTTGTCTAGTTGCGTGACGCTTTGAGAGACGCCTGCCTCTGCTGTATTGCGCATGCTTACCAGAACGAGCTGCTGTCATTATTTTTACATGAGTCGTGCTTCATGGATGTTGAGCAAAGAAAAACGCGAAGTGGGACTCGTTATCTTTTCCAGACCGCTGTAGCAGCAAGTGGCACTCTGTCTTCTTGAGCTGTTAGCAAACACTGAGTTAGTGCTCACATTTCTTGGCTCTCGGAGTGATGTGGTTAATGAAAAGATTGTGGATCCTCCGGGAAGTCAGGCTGATTACGACCAGACAATATTAACTAAAAGCTGTTAGAACCTTATAAAAATATGTTTTTATTTCTCCCCCTCTCTCTTTCTCTCTCTCACTTTTACAATTCTTTAATACATCTGAGTTTTGTTAGACTTCTTTCCGCCTCACATACTTGGATTATGTGCCAATCAGGAGCGCAAACTTGAATTTGGTGCTGTTTTATCATTGTGGCAGAGATGGACGAAAGAATTATTAGTTGTGGATTTTTTTTTCACAGTATTTAGCACTTGAAATCACCTCCTAATGGCCTTTTTAGTGGCTGGCCCGGTGACCTCCTCGCATGAGGAAGGTATGACCTGTGGGGAGTGGGAAAGGTCAGCTCCACACAGTGTGTCGATGTCGGTTCCTGTTCGGCTCCTGCTGTGCTGATATTGATCCGCAGAGAAGGAAGCGGGTTTTTTTTTCCTTCTCACATCTCTTTGTAGGCTACATTGTGTACTGTTAGGATAATACTGTAGTGTATACTGTAAAGGCACACTCGACTTGCCTCACTAGGGCCCTTACATATAGGTCTGTTAAAGTCTTGTGATGTTTCACTCCACAACTTTTTATGCGTCGTCTCGTCTCTCTTTATACTTACTGTACTGTATATAACAGAGATGACAATAAGGTTTACTTTGACTTTGACAAAGTGTCACTTTTGCGGTCAGGCTATATGCGGATAGCAGAGGTGAAACCTGTTTATAGGCATTTAAAAAAAAGTTGCAAAAAATTAAAATAAATAAAAATTGGACAACTATTTGGGGGTGATGTTTAATTTCCGAGATGGAGAATACAAATTGGATATTAAACTGCTACTGAGACGCAATCAGCACCCTGATTGCTAGACCATCTTCGCCTTTGCGACCAACATGTCAGTAAAATAAAATCAGCGTGGAAACAACAGGTTTCACTCCCATTATAGGCTGCTTTAAATAATGGCTTCTTTAACAGACAGCGTATTGCGCATTTATAGAATACAGTAGATAGCGAAATAGAAAAAAAAGCCTTTATTATGCTACTTAGGATACTATTGCACCCAACTTTATTTGTCATTTCTCAGGGAGAATGACGATAGTATTACACTCAGTTAGGGAATTGTGAATGATGTCCTCGGTCATAATTAGGGACGTGTTTACGGCAAACAACTATTAGGTACAGCGTTTGACTCGAGAATATCTAAATTCAGCTGCACTGGAGTTGCAGTTCAAGATGTGAGCTAAAAGGGATTCTGCTGACTGGAGCTGGTTTGAAGTTTGAGTAACAGAGGGAGGTAGTTCTGGATGGGACCGTGGGCCTCCTGGGAATTAAACCAAGTCGCGTGTCCTGAGCTGCTGTAGTTTGTTGGGTTTGCAACCACAGCAACACATGAGACGCGTCGTTCATTGGCGATTTCAGGTGCGCGCTCTCTCTCTCTCTCTCTCTCTCTCTCTCTCTCTCTAAAGTACGCTAAGTGTCCACGGTTTGCTTTCAGCCAGTACAAATATGTAAGTGAAGATGCTTTATTGTAACACGTGTGGCTGTGTGTGTGTGTGTATATATTTCTGGTTAGTGGTCTTGTGGGGGAAAATAAATAAATTAAAAATTAAAGTAACAGCAGGCCCATCGGTTATTATCACAGCATAAATTATTGCTCTTTGTCATTCATAATTCATATTCATGGGACTCTTTGCTTGTTTGTTTTTTTTGTTTGTTTTTGTTTAATGTCGAGCATTTTGTCTATGTATTTGTAACGAAGGCTGCGGACACAGCTACACCTGTTTTACCTTCCCCTGATCAGACAGGCAGCCAGCGTGAGGGTAAATAAAACGGATCCGGTTTACTTTGAGATATCAAACGTCACGATGCACATTATGAACGCGGTAATGATGCGCAGCACTGAGGGACAGTGGGTGGCTTAGTGAGTTTTTTCCCCACACTGACCGACGAAAGGTAATAAGAGAATCTTATAAAATAAAGATTTCAGCCTGTACATGTTTAACAGTCAACGATGGAATGAATGAATAAATGCTACTTTAGATCTAGATAGATAGATCTACCTTATATATATATATATATATATATATATATATAGACCCTGCTTCCCGTATTCCCGGCCCTGCTTCGTTACCAAACCTGTGAATTCTGCTGTTTTAGTTGGCGTTGAAAGAAATGCCATATCACGATGCAGGCAGGCTACTTCCCAAACGGGCCGTTCTCAGTAGAAATAACATGAGCGCTCTTCGGTCGGTGTGTATGTTTGGGCAGAAAAGTTTTAAAGCAAAAACGTCACATCCTTTAATTGAATTTGAACCGCTCTAATGAACGCGTCTGTTCGCCTGCGCGTGTTATTTATAGCCGCTCTCTCACTTCAAACAGTGGGCGTTCCCACCTTTTTTAATTTTAATACGTGTAGTAAATGTCACGTAGGATTTCCTTAAAGAAAGATCAACAATGAAAGAGAAACAGTATAGAAAACGAAAAAAAAAAAACCTTACAGTCACAGCTCACGTTAGTTTTACTCATATGATGTAAAGAAAAAAATGTTTTATTATCTTTTTATATATGAATTAAAGTTGGACTGACAAGATTAGTTTAATGCTGATATTATGATTTGCATGTAGACTTGGAGGAGGAGGTGTGACAAGGCCTTCCTGGTCTCCCCTCGTAAAAGTTAATAGGGGTGTCACTTCAGTGTGCAGACAAGTGCAGTCCACTTAATATCCAGAGCAATAAATAGCTTAAGTAGAATATAAGCATATTCACTATGTCAGATAGATAGATAGATAGATGGAGGGCCTTGTATTATGAGAAAGTGCAAAATTTATATATACAACAGTGATAAAAACAAAGAAAAGTAAAAATGAAGTTTATATATATATATATATATATATATATAATTATTAATTCATCTTTTATTTGCTATTCTCTGAAGCGCTGGGGAGAAAATGTCTTTCTTTCTTTCGTTCTTTCTGTCTGTCTGTCTGTCTGTCTGCCCGTCTGTCTGTCTGTGACACGGCTTCTGTTGTTTTTGTACTGAAGTCGATGCACAGTCTGCCTTCCTGTACAACGCAGCTCTCATGGCCTTTCATCTGAGTTCAGCGGCCGCCTTTCTCACACAGATGAATGTGTTTCTGTGAAAGAGCCGGAATGGCTGTCACTTCTCCTGGCACGATGGAGAAACAAACAAAACCCCCTACTCCTTTAAGGAAGCCTGGCGCAGGCACCTCCCATCGGACACAAACACTACAGAGTCAGAAGCACAAATAGCCTTAAAAGCTAAACACTCTCCCTTTCATGCAGAAAGCTTGGCATGACTGGTCCTCTTATGCACACAGAGAAACACAAAGTGGAGAGGTGCAGAGTAAATGACATACTCGAACTGGACTGACTTATTGTTGTCCCCCCCCCCCAAAAAAAAGAGTTTGAAACCCACTAATCCCTCAAAAAACTCTGCATCCTCCCCTGCTGCTGCTTTTGCAGTGAAGTTCTCGAAGTGGCTCCTACACATCACTTTGCCAATTCTGTTTATTAAACAATAGATAATGTGCTGCTAATATGAGACGTTTTCAGGTAACTCCTCTTTTTTTTCTTTCTCTCTGGCTAAAGCCAAGACTCTTCAAGACAGGAGCAGGTGTAGCATCAAAGACCAATTATCTGCATGCTGAAAACAAAGCTAACCATAAATCAGATTATGTTATTGATTTTTTCTCTCTCATGTATCCACAGTTTGCACATTTTTATACACACAGAATGTGGAACATGTGACAAGTTAATTGCAGAATGTTTTGAGAAATTTGCAAGAAGTACACTA